GTTGTCCCTAGCCCTGTTGTGTGTCTGCTGAACACTAGGACCCTCAGGCTACTCCCTTATGAGGTACTGCTCAGGAGGCCCCCTCCCATAATCAGAACCTTCAGAGATGTCAGATAGCTAGGGGACACCAGCCTGGCTGCTTAGATACAGGCACTAGAAAAAGTATTCTCTCATAGTCACAAGACTACCCTAGGGAGAATTCCAGTCTCCTCAGTCAGCCTGGCACACACATTCCTGCTGGGAGATTCAGTCTCTGTTAAAGACTGGAAAAAGGACCCCTTCAGCCTGTGTGGACAGGGTCTCACTTTATTGTACTTGTCACCCCAACTGCTGTTAAAGTTGCAGGTATCATCTTTCGGAAACACCATTCAAGGTTGAAAAAGGCTTACCCTCAAGGACCCTTCAGCCACCTGGACTACTCATACTTTTCCACACACCCCTGTAAAGACCTAACTCAAATAGGAAGAACTAGTGATAGGGCAAGAGAGACTCCATTTTCTTTTTCAACTCCATATTAAGAGAAGTCACTTAAATTCACTTAAGCTATAGTTGACCCCACTATTCACCTCAGTCCCCTTGGTTAGTTATGAACCCAGTTAAAGGAAAGCAGAGTCATAAAATGGGAACAGAACAAACAGGACAAATTGGAGATGATACTTTTTTGGTTTTGGTACCAGGAATCGAACTCAGGACCTTGCAATAGCCAGGCATGTGCTTGGCCACTGAACTATATCCCTGGCCCCAAACCAGACAAATTGGGAAGTAGGCTAAAAGTTAAACTGCAGTGGTCATCTGGAATCCAGCTGTCTGGCAGCCTCTGGGGAAATAAACTTTGTGAAAATTGTGCAACATTCTTGTAAGTTTCCCAAAAATGAGGTAATGGTTTCTATGGAAACCTACAAAAAGGTTCTTCATTCATTGGGAAAATAAAGCTCAGAGCACCACCAGGTTAAACACTAGGGCCAGAGAATCCCCTTGACTAGGGCCACATTGGCCATAATGGTTGGGGTCTGGCAAGGACAGCACAGACTTTAGCTTTCTCTAGATACACAGGCCTTTTTACCTGAGTACCCCGTGAGCTGTGGCTCTGTGGCACTTCTGTCCAGCTCTGCCTCCTTGCTAGCTGGACTAGGACCTGTACCCCAGTTTACCTGAGTCCAAAGGTGAATATTTTCCCAGTGGACCAAGAACCCCCAGTCCCTGTGCTAATATCAGCCTGACACAATCAGTCTCTGGTACTCATTCCCTTGCCAGTGGGGCTAGACATTACTATGACAGGGACAGGGACTGCTAACACATCACTGCCAACGAGTCTCGCAAATCCCTGTCCCGAGAACTCTCTCAAAGCTTCACTGATATTTCCAAGTCCCTCTCACATTACAGTGAGTTAGACTCCATGGCAGCTGCAGCTCTTCAGAAGCAAAGAGCGCTCAACATTCAGACAGCAGAAAAGGGGAGCCAACGCCTATTCCTAGAAGGGTGCCGCTCCTACGCACACTGTCCGGAATAGTCTGGGAGCCACAGAGAGCCCACAAATGCAAGCCAGTAGATTAGGAGAACAGGCTATCTCTAAATGGCATACTCTGGTTTCTCTTCAGGTCATATACATCTTTTGCCTTTTTCTAAATCCCAGATGAGCTGGAGCTCATGGCTTCTTCCCTTGGTTGGTCCCTTGGTCAGGATCCTCCTCCTCATATTCTTTGGGCTACTGATGGGGTTCCTCCAGAACCAGGTACAGGCCCTCACTAGACAATCTGCTCCAGATACTGGTGCAGACTAATCCCAGATATCAGCCCCTAGAAGTAAGTGATGCCCTATGGTAAGAGAGACTAGGAGGATCAAAGGGGGGAAATGAAGCAGAACTTTTCTATTCAAAATGTTTCAAAACCCAAATATGTTCACAGTCTGCAGTGTTCCTTCCACCAAGCTGTACCCAGCCTGTTTCTGTTTCCAGTTTGTTCCCATATTGATAAAGTTTCACTGGCTGGGAAAAGACCACCGCCTTATCTGATAAACAGCATAAAAGTAACTTCCAGTACTAGTTCAGGCATTGGACTTTGGAGTATGCAGCTCCTCTGAGCCCACTGGCATAATGAAGTTCGGTTCCCTCCACTTCTCCAAGTGCTGCTCAGTTTTTTCAGTGCTGGTAACCCTGAAATTGCTGTAACAACTGATGTCTGTCAGTTTACTGGACCAGGTGATACCAGTTATGGTAGAATTCCAAGTTACCACTCATCCCTTCAGGGAGGCATGTCAGCCTGGTTGATGGATTTTTATCTCCAGACTTGGTCTTGTTCAGATGCACCTCCAGCCACAATTCTGATGGTCTTTATTTTTTTCTGCTGATTTCCTTGACATCCCAGTTCCACTCTGACTGTATATCAATTTCTATCCTCTTAGCTTCCCATGATGATACCATTCTGGATCTTTGTGAACTAAAGGTCAGTCTCGGGGTGATACCCAGGACGAGAAAGAAAAGAAAGTCTTCAGGCTGGGACTACCCACATCCCTATGTTCCTCCTCCAAGTCCTGCCGAGAGCTATCACCCCTGCACATACTGCCTCTCTCTCCACACCCAGTTCCTTTTCTCTCAGCCTCTCACCCTTGAATAGCTGCCAAATGGCTTGGTTTATATGGCCTTGTAAAGTCCAGCTCCGTGCAGAGACAGCTGAGGTGGTGTGAAAGGCAGTTGTGGCCACACGGGCGGATTAAAGATGGATTGCTGCAAAACTGCGCACCAGGTGAGTTTGGAGCTGTCCAGGCGTGAGCTGGCTGCACAGCCAGGGAAAGTGGCTGTGGGTCTCTGAGGAGAGGCCTGGGTGGCAAGAGTTGGTGGTGTGGGAAGCCAAAGAGACCCACAGGAGGGTGGAAATGCCACAGGAGTTCATCCTGATGCTGATCCTGCTCCTTGGTATTTCATGCACTGGCTCCTGTATTGTACTGGAAGTGCTAATCAGTGCCATTCAGGCATTTGACACGGGCTTACTCACCTCCCTCCGGGCGCCTGCTCGATTGTCTTAGTTGCTTTTCCTGTCGCTGGGACAAAATATAGAACACTCACCAGTTAAGTGAGGGAAGGTTTATTTAGCTCACAGTTTGTAGAGGTTTCGGTCCATGATTGGCTGGCACTAACACAGGGTGGCTTGGCACAGGAGCATCACAGACAGAAACAGTTCCTTGTGCCCACAAGGTAGCAAAAGCAACAAAGGACCTTAACAGCTCCAATGTGAAAAAATGGGGGCTTGTGCCACTCCACTGCTGGGACTGGCTGTCCGTGTCCACACCCCACCCTCTATTGGGTATTGTGTCTGCACAATCTTTCCTTTCAGTGTCAGTTGTCCTGTGATCCCACCCAGGGACGCAGAGCACTGTACATGGTTGCTAACTGTTTCTCAATCAGGGAATACCAGCTCTGGGATCCCTTTTTAGAACTGTGAGCAAAACGCAACAGGGGGCTTCTGCTTTCCCTGTTTTTGCTATAGGCCCCAGCCAAGCCCAGCGTCATCCACATTCACCGTTAGGATAAATGGCAAGGTCGGATCTCTGACTCGTAGGGCTGGCACCTATGCAACTGCCCCTTTGAGTCCTGAAAAGCAGCCTGTGCTGTCTGTCAGCCATATCATTCCCTTCACGGTCATCTGTAATTGCATTGGGAATTATTTTTGTCTTATCAGACCAAAAACACTCAAGAATTTGACAGACAAGCCAGTACCCTGGACCCTGTCTTCATTCACGGCCCACCCCAGGCCAGCACAGCTTCCTTCAGACTGTGCACGGCAGCTTTCAAATCTGCAAGGCCATCGGAGGTTAACATGATATCATCAAAGAATGAAATAAAGACACAGAGTGTGGCTTGCCTCAGGTGGCCAGGTGCTGGGCACCAGGCCATGACACAAAGTAGAGCTATGCAAATAGTCTTGTGGACTATCCATTGCTTGCCCTCTCGGGTGAAGGCAAACTGGTCCTGACTGCTAGCATCACAGCGAGATTTTGTAGTCCTTCCTCAGGATGTGTCTGTCTTCCATGTGGGCCATAGTGAAGGGCTTGTGCAGGGTGATGACCAGCAATTTCCAGACAGTCTGTCCCATTTCTCCAGGACCTCTAGGCAGCTGATACTGGTGCATGGTGTGGATGTCCTCAGACTGCAGCTTTTACCACAAGAATTTGCAAGCGTAATTCCCCTGCATGGTGCTGAGCAGGGCACCAGTCAGTTTCTCCACCCCAGTATGTATTTAGCAACAGGGGAAACATGCACATCAGAAGGGCACTGAGCCTTCGACAGCCTGGAGCTCCTGCTGCCTGAGCCCAGGGACTGGCTCAGCTCTGGCAACACTGAGAGCAAAGTCAGCTTTCCCAGTTTTTCTGTCACGGACAGATCCTGTGGCTTGTTAGGTGCCACCAGAGGTCTGCTCTGTTTTATCACAGAGGTGCTCAGGCCAAGCATCAGGGATTCACTCGGGTCTGCACGCCTGGAGGGCGTGCACCTTGAGCATCAGCATTTTGGAGCTGCCTTGGGGCTGCAGCTGAAACCCAGGTTTGGGCAGGCTCCCTACACCAGCTGCCAGTGGTTTGTGCCCTGGCATCACACCATGAATGCCCATTTCCCCAGCAGGACTGTCCTTTTATCTGCGGCTAAGCCAGCAGCCATCAGGTTTGTCGATATCTGGCACCGTCTGACTTTTTGTAGCTCCATAGCTGGTTCATCGGGGTTGACCCACACTTGGCCTTGGGCCACCCACCTTTTGTTTTGCTTGTTTCACCAGTCCCTGTGTCTCCTTGGCTGAATAGGAATGGGTAGAGGTGGACAGTCCTTTCACCCCCATCTCCCCAGCTAAGTGATGGTCTATGGTCACCTTCTGGCAGATAGCAGGCATGCAGCAATACCGGGGCCTTTCCAAATAATGGGAACTTACACTTAGCGGGGAGGCAGTATTTCCATTGTTCCATACATGGCTCTGGCAGCAGACGGTACTGTTTTAGGTTCTCCTCAGTCCGTTGCACTGGGTTGGCAGTTCCTGGCGTGGCCGGCCTGTCCCACCACCTTTGCTGTCCTTGTCCCTGCAGTTTGTCCAACTGCAGTGTAGGCTGTCAGACCTTAAAGAGCTGGACAGATACTGGCGGGGGAGTGGGAGGGGGGCTGCCTCATTGCCTGTGGCCGCCTGGCTCCCACCCGCCTGTATTTCTGTACACCATTCCCGCCTCCTGCTGGTTGCCTTGGGACTCTTCCCTATGTCATTGCCTGGCAGGGGCAGGGCTGTCCCTGCCCAGTGATGGACTTGGGGCCCTGCTTGGGGTAGGTCATGGCTCTGGAATTTTGTTGGGCTTCTGAGTTTTGGATTTTTCCGCAGGCTGGGCCCTCAAGCCTTTCTCATCAGGGTTGGCCTGCCCAGGTGCTCTGAAGGTGACTGCAGATGACCAAGGCAGGACTGAGGAGGCGTGTTGGCCCCTCCTCTCTGGGCTCTCCTTCACCATCAGGTGTGGAGGGGACACTCACTTTTCCCTGTTGACCCTGTTTGTCCTGCTCACTATGCCACCCCTCAGGGTTCGGGAGACTAAAGGGGGAAGTTCGTGAGTGAGGTGCCCAAAGAAAGCAGGCAGAGGTGGACATCAGCAACACAGCAGTAGCGGGCAGCTGAGCAGAGCAATATTGGTTAACTCTGATACAGGTGGTAATCACATACTTCCATTCCTATCTAGTGTCATAATCATCGCATGTGTGTTTACCTGTGTTGAGGATGGATCTGTACTTGCCTGTCCCGAGCTTTGGGTACCGTGGAGCAGTACTCTACCATGTGTGGGGTCAAAACACTCCCACGTATAATTTCCAGGTTTCTATTCTACCAGACTGTAGACCAGAACTCAAAACCTCTGTAGATAGTACCTGGGGAACAGCTGATCTTGTTTCCTATGGCAGGCTCAGTAGTAGTGGCAGCTGGGGGCCATCCTCTGACTTACAGAATTAAAGAGAATTCTTTGTCAAGCTGACATTTTATAGTATTGATGTATATTCATAATTCTGTGACAGGAACTTTTAATATTAAAATGGTCCCATGAACGTGAGCTAATTGTATGGCCTATGCTTGTCACCCCAGAATGCTTTAGTGTTCAGCCAAAGTTGCTTTTATGACAGTGAAGCCTCCCTGCTTTGGGAACATTAAGTTTTCCCTTGGTTTTTGAACCAATGAATCAAGTAGTGGTTTGCTGGCTTGATAGGAAGACCATGCCTTCTCTTAGGCATGTTTTCTGACTCAGCTGACTGTTCAAGTCCCTGACAATTGGTACAGAATTCCTTGCTGCAGTGGCGGCTCTCTGTGGTCACTGGCTGACCTGTCCCATCCTCCCAACAGCTTCCTTACCATGCCGCCATCCCAGGAGGGCTGTACCCATCCAAGGTCATTACTGTGTCAGGCATTGTCCTGGAAAATGCTCAGAGGTAAGACAGGACCACCAGGGACCTCAGGGAGGAGAGAGTCATGACCTGGCTCCAGGGAGGTGGGGGATGAGTGGGAGGGGGTGGACAGGCCTCAGGGGACAAGAAGGGTCCATGTGATGTGACCACCCCAGGTTCAGCATCAACCTGTGCACCGAGAGTGACATAGCCTTCCACCTGAACCCTCGTTTTGATGAAAATACCGTGGTCCGAAACACTCAGATCCAGGGCAGCTGGGGGTCAGAGGAACGATGGCTGCCCTTCAATATGACCTTCAGACGAGGATACAGCTTCAAGGTAAGATGCTGAAGCCTGGAGCTTGGGCAGCTCACTGGGTGCAAGGATAGAAGGGGTGAGGAGGGCCAGGGTACCTTGAATGGGGTGGGAGCCGATGCCTGTGATAGGAGGGCTGGGCCCCAAGGGGGAGAGAATGTGCCACACACTATTAATATTTAAGATTACTATCTCCTGTGTGGCAAATGTTACCATCTAATTTTTATAGATGAGCAAACAAAATCACAGGAGAAATTACTTTCCAGGGATCACATGGCCCATTGCTGCTAATCACAACCAAGAACAAGGAGCTAGTCATTTATTTGCTTGTTCACCCAGCAGTCATTTATTAGCTCTTTGATTGGGCCTGTGTGGTGCAGGAAGTACCCCATGCACAGGGATGCAGCCAGGAAGCAGAGAGCAGGTCCTACCCCATGGGGCTGGACCTAGGTGGGGAGGAACAAGGAGACTAAGGCATGAGCGGATCAGCACAGATAAGGACCGGTGCTGAGCAGAAGGAAAAACTGGGCTGGAGGAACTCCTACTTCTGGGCAGAAGTGCAGAGGAGGGAGGGGCCTGTCCAGAGCTGCACTGCAAGGTGCAGAGTGAGGGTGAGATGTATGGACTGTGGCTGCAGCCTGATCACCATGAGCAGGCCTTCTCCACCCTGACTACGCTCAGATCC